TAAGCAATTCATGTGCCAGATCTTGGATATAACACTGCCTTAAGCAACTCCTGTGCCAGATCTTAGATATAACACTGCCTTAAGTAACTCATGTTCCAGATCTTAGAAATAAAAACTGCCTTAAGCAACTTGGTCTGCCAGGCATTAGATACAGCACTGCCTTAAGCAACTGGTCTGCCAGGCATTAGATACAGCACTGCCTTAAGCAAATGGTCTGCCAGGTCTTGAAATGCAAAACAAGCATTTACAAAGCAGATGCAGATTAAGAGCAAACATCCAAGCTTTAAAAGCACAAAATTCGGATACCAAAAATAAAATACTGGATATAATCATTTAACGAAAATTTGCAATATCTGGTAAGAAAATTGTATCAATATTTCTTGAAAAATATAAAATATAAACTTGGAAACATGGGAGGATAGGTATGTTGTAACCCTATACATTTATTGATGATACTTAGGAAAGTGACATTATAAAAAAAATCATTTTCAATCTTCCTGATTATTAATGCATATTGATCCACAAAGAGAAACTTTTTGCAAAATTTCAAACTTACTGATTATTAAAGCTTATAAATCTACTTGCATCTGAAATGATACGTTTCAGTTCTTGCTATTATAAAATTCTGTTTATAAACAAAATATAACTAAAAATAAGTATCATATTCAATTACCAACCAAACATGCAGTAAATTTCTTGAAGGTAAATATTGTGCAGTGATTACTGGATATCTGTAAAACAACTTCAATACAGTATGGATTACATATCTAAAAACTGAATTCAACAAATTTGTAAATTAGCGCATTGTAAACAAAACAAAAATACCTGATCTTGCTCTCCAAGCATACGGCATAATAAGACACCAAAGCATGGGCCAGAAGGTGGAGGGTAGGTTGTTTATTTAAGTTGCTTTGATGCTCAGCACATTTTATCTTTTTTTAAAACAGGTTATGACTGCATTTAAGCCTCTTGATTCATCAACTGGTATTAAACATTGAAAATTAACCATTACTCTGAGTGCCTTAATCAAGATTCACCCCAATATGCATAATGATGTGCGGTCATATTTTGCATGTACTATAAATCTTGAAAAATTTAGGTGATAAGACACACACTTGATATGCCACAGAATAATGTGTCTGCATATCAGGGTCTATGTTTGTTCAAATAAACTGTATAGACCCAGGTCTACTGGCATTTTATGGAATGGGAGATCAGGTCTGTGCAGTTTGCATACTTGTTATACAGGAGAGTATATATGGTGATGTAATGTAGTTATGACTTTTAACATAGCTTTAACAATTTTTCAGTGTCATCACTACAATGTCTGCAGTGTGGCAGTTTACAGTGATGTCTAGCACTGGGGCATCATGCTGCAGACATGTAGCATGATGTCCCACCCAGTCACATTATCCTGACACCAGGACGACCAATCCTAACACTAACCTCTTAATGCTGAGCGTCAAACGATGCAGCTGTTAGTACCATTTTTGTAAGTTTTTGCAATGACTTGACCATGGATCAAACCCATGACCTCCTGCATCCGAGGGGACGCTCTAACCACTACGCAGATGAGTGACTGTGTATATATGGTAATAATAATAATAATAAAATACTGATATCACAAGGCAAAGTTATACTTGAGTATGTACTGGTAAAAATTTGAGTATATACCAGTAAAGAAGAAATTATATGCATCTTCATGCATGTAATTTTATGTATTTTTTTATTTATAAACTTTAATACAATAACCATTATAAAGAATGATGTTAATATGAAAACTGAAATTGCAATAATGCCTTAAAAAACAATCTAAAACAATAACAATTTTTATTAAAAGAAAAGCTTGCTTATAATATGAAATACAAAATGCAGACTAGGAGAAGTAGCTGAGTGTCAACACATAAAAACAAGACCTAGGCCCGATTTTGAGCCTACAATCAAAGCATTGCCAAAAAATGTGCATTCTTGTTCTGAAGGTAAAAATTTATTAGCAAGAATGTAAATTAATGAATTCCCTCAGTTTCAGAATCATTAGTCTAAACTATGAAGAAAATCCATCATTGAACTAAAACATTGTAAATTTTATATAAGACAATGATCCAAGATCAAAGGAGAAAACTAGAGTCTTGCAGAATGTATTGTCTTGGTCATCCCAAGTACAAAGAAATGCATCAATAAGTTTTGCAAAATAAGCTAACACAATCTTGAATCAAAACCTTAATGCAATATTTAAGATGTACCGGAACCTTGACCTCAGGTTACAGATGCAAGTGAGCAAGTTTTAGAATTACAGCTTCATAATCATTCATGCCAAGTATATCGAGGATCTAACAAGTTTTAGGAAATATAAGCAAACATGAGACTCGAGTGTACCTGATATCACTAACCTTATAAATGCAGAATTTGCAAAGTCTGAAAGCCTTCATTGACAGGATGTATTCTGCATAACTTTATAAAATTTTGTTGCTTATAATTTTTTTTCTGTTTTTAGTAATGGCACTCATATTTGTTGTTTGAACAATTTCTAACAAGCTAGATGCCAGGATAGTGTCTCATTTGGTCAAATTGTGTTGAGTGCTTTTGAGATGGTTTTCTGGTTTGTTAACAGTGGCCACATTTGATGGGGCCTCCTTTGAAAATATTCTAAAGACCTTCATGTCAGGAATCTTTCTGTCAAATTTAGCAAACACTCTGGTTACTGGTTTTTGAGAAGATATAAAAGGCAATTGTGAACAGTCAACATACAATGGTTAAAGGACAATATGATTAATTAAAAAAATGCCTTAAGCCAAAGCCTTAACACAAATTTTGTATCACAGTGACATTGCTTCACATTGATGAATGCCAAGTAAAAGGAGTATCAATCAAGGAGTTTCAAAGATATTTGCAAAAACTATAGTTTAGCCCCAACCTTAATAAAATTATAATAATGCTGGTACCAGAAAAGTGGTGTTGCTACTCCAAAACATGCTCTTTATATGTTCCTGTACCCAAGTTTCACAAGTTTGAAGCTGTGAAGCTGTGACAGAATTTACATTTACAGTGGATAAAAAATAAACTGATTATGAGGTACAGTGCCTGTGTAAAACTAACTCTGGAATAACTTTCATATCCATTAAATAAGATCTTATGAATCAATGAGACATTAAAACTAGACTTGAAAGAGCACTTGTATCAGAGACCACTTGTCTCAAAAATGCCAGATGCAAAATTAATTCTTTATATACATTTAGCATGATGAACCTCTTCTAATAGACCAGCTGTCTTGAGAGACAATTTTTGTTGGTAATAGGGTGGTTTCTCAAGACTGGTTTCATTAGTACTGTTCCTAAAATATACACAAAGACAGAAAATGGAGCACCACCAAATTTTTCATATCCTTATTCACTTCTAGAATTGGAGTGAATATCTAAATGAGAAGCTGGAATCTTAATTTGTAATTACCATGCAAGATGAAAAACACTTGTACAGTCTGGAATGTAACTGAAAGACAACTAATTGATTGATTGTTGTAAGTGATATTCATCTTACATGGTAATTACTAATGTATTAACAGCACATCATCACACAGGTTATATTGACTGTAAAACTGGGCAGGGTTCAAACCATGCACCCTTCCAGTCAGGAGTATGGATTCTTTCCAATTTCAAATAAATGACAAAGCAGTGAAATAAGTGGTTGACATTCTGACTTTTTTGTTACTCATTATTCAGGGAAAAAGTTGCATGTTCTTATCAAATTTCATCAGATTATGCTGAATAATTCTTGACCTGTGCCAGTTGCGGGCAACATCCCACATAGGAAGATACACATGTAATTGTCAAGGGCCATAACTATCTCATCTGGAGTTGAAGTACAATACAGCATTTTAATCACACATAAGTCTATGAGACAATATAAACACAAAATTGTGTCAGAAAATATGTAATGGCTCCTGAATTACGTTGAGTACAAGAAACTATTATGATGGAGATTTAAAAGTAATATAAAAGGGCAACAACACCATTAAAATAAACCTGTAAAAGCGTCACAAAGCTTTTACGGAACAGACAGGTACATGGAAATGTTGAGGAATATAAAACTCCCACACATCGACATGAGGCCCTAATTAAACTGGTGGTGTTTAGCTGATGTCAAGATGTATGGGATCATAGTTGGCAAATGTATTTTATGTTTCAAATCCCATTTCTTAAATCGGGGTATTCATTTCTTAGACTCAAAAATAAATCTGCTTATTGATATGTCTGACCTCCTCGCTGTTCATACAGTAAGAAATATGTGAACATATGAACTAGTAAATAACAATAACAATATATTATTCAAAATAACGATATGTTTGATAACTGGAATATCATACCCATCTAACTGAATTGCATCAGTTACTTAGCTCAAGTGAAAAAAATCTTTAGTGGACACTGATGGGACCATATAAGTTAATCTTTCATGGACAGGTGCCCTTCCCTTCATATACATTATACATGCTATAAAATGTGCATAAATACAAGCATTACAAAGCAGAATGCAGAGTAATAGCCAACATTTAGAGAACTGGCAATTCTGACATAAAAATAAAATATTGGATATATTGACAATAATATTTAATCAAAATGTTCAACATCTGACAAGGAATGTATATCAATATTTCTTGAAAAATATAAATTATATATTTAGAAACAAATACATGCCCCCATCCCCAGTAGCCAGCTTTTTTGGTATTGATGAGTTTGTGTCAACTTTTCCCCTTCACAAGCAGCCTCATTTTACCCATGTTCAGAACTGATATTTAATTCATATGTTAAGTAATGTGATGTGATGTGATTATAATTTTTAACATAGCTTTAAAAAAATTTCAGTCATATCGCTACGATGTCTGCAGTGAGGCAGTTTATAGTGATGTCTAGCACTGGGGCATCATGACACCAGTCCTAACACTAAACTCTTAATGCTGAACGTAAAGCAAGGCAGCAGTTAGTACCATTTTTTGTAAGTCTTTGGTTTGACTTGACCAGGGATCGAACCTACAATCTTCCGAATCTGAGGCGGACACTCTAACCACTAGGCCACTGGAGCAGTGTCAGTTCCCCAATATCAGGTTTTTGTTACTGAATGAATTGTTGGCTTAAGTACATTATAACAATATCATTACAGTTAAAATTATATCATTATCTATAAATGCCGACCTTTATAGAAAATTGGCTCAACAATATTGGGACTGAATTTGGAGCTTTACACAGCTTTTGAGTTCTTCTCTTTGATATGATGTAATTGTCAAGATCATAACATGGTCAACATAGACTAAATATGGCTTTTGTGCATTCACACAAACAGAAATATACCTTGAACAAAACAAGGTACTTTAAAAAGATAAAAAATCATGTGAAAGTACATCTATCACTTCTTTTTTATACAAGGCATTTATTTTGTCTGCAAAAGTTTCATCTGCATTAATAAATTATAGTACTCTACAATTAGAATAAGGAATAAATCATCAAAATTTTTTTTACAATGTCATCAAAATAGTTAATTTAGCACCGAAGGTAAAAGTTAATCAACTTATGACAATGGGAGATTAACAGTTCTTGCTGAAATATTTGCTGTTGAAAAGACTCAAATAAACAAGATAATAATGGATAAGTAGAAAATCCTGCACCAGTGATAAAATGGAGTACCCGTAAATGAAAAGAGAATGATTCCAAATGCCAAGTTTTGTTTGTACCAAGATTGAATACACAACTTGCATTTCATGCCCAAGAATAAAGAACTATTAACAGGCCTGGAGCAGGTTGCGTGTTGGGTTTTCTTCCCCTGAAATTTCAAAAATGGCCCTGACTTTTTTCCAAAGGGCACCAAAAACATAAAGTCCATGTGTCTATTTACTCAAAGTGTGCATAATACCAATAAACAATGGTCAAATTTCAAGTGACAATTGTTTTGTTTTGGGTGTGAATGGTTTTGCCTTTTCCTAGCCTGGTGGGGTGTTCCTGGAAACCTCAGACCATCCTTCTTGCCTTGAATTAATGCACATTAACTTAGAATAAGTCTACTTTTAAGACAAGATGAATCTTGTAATAATCAAATGAAGATGTTAAGTGAGTTGAAGTTACATATAGCTTTCTTACTATGTACACATACCTATACTTCTTACAAATCCCCCTTAGAAAGACCACCAGTCTTATATGGACACTTTCTCAGTGCAGAAGGGACAACCATATAAAAGTTGGACACTTCATATTCAAGAAGAAACAGACATGATTTTTGGTCAGGGGGAAGAAGGTATTTTGTAACCCTTTTTTAGTATCAACAATACTTGGATAAGAGAAATAATGCATAAAGAATCTGCCAGAACTTGTTTAATAAAATACCAGTCCTGCTTTTTAGTAACTGGTATGTCAGGTCTTGTACAAAACAAAAATATAAGACACAAGTTAAGCACAACCTAATTTTTCATATATAAAAATCAATTTTAGAACTGAAGTAAATATCTAAATGGGAAGCTGGAATCTTATTGGTAATTACTAGGGCATAACCGACTTTTGATCGGAAATCAGATTCCACCGGATAGTATGAACTTCCGATTTATTGGAGTCAGACAAGGCAGGAACGACCGATTCAGATAATAAAAATAATAAAGTTGAATTTCTATAGCACCATGTCTAACACTGCATGTCATTCGATAGTGCCTTAATAAAGTAAAATAAAAAGTCAGAAAAGTCCAATATGGTCAACACAATAGGGTGAAACAATAATACTTGAGTTAGACTGAAAGATTTAAATTTATTAAAATATTTTAATGTGCATGGGCATGACGCACACAGTTGAAAAGATAATAAAGAAATTTAATAATAAAAATTTATAACTTCCAAGTTCTTTGCAGGAAATGGTAGCATCTCCGTTTTTTCAGCGGACATGCTCGAACGTTTGTAGCTGCACCTGTTGTGCAAAAACTTCTTTCACTATCGACGCTAGAGGGCGGTATTTTTCTCAGCTAGATATGAATCCAATTCATACTGGCACGTGAATTCAGATGACAGGGATGCAGAGGTAAGATCTTGGTTGGTTGTACTAGAGGCAAATAACTCCTGGTAGTAGGCATTTCCGATTATTCAAATCGTATCCAGAATTGGAAAAATTTCATACCCAAAATCCGAAATCAGTAGAAAAATGCTAATCAGTTATGCCCTAGTAATTACCATGCAAGATGAATAACACTTGTATTGCCTGAAGTGTAACTGAATGAAACTGATTGATTGCTAAATAAGTGTTACTAATCTTACATGGTAATTTCCAATGTCTTTACATCAACAAAGAAGTAATATTGTTCTGAGGTATTTGAAGTGCTTTATCCAAAAAGATGCCATGACAAACAAACTGGCAAGATTTGGGCAGGGTTCAAACCAAGCACCCTTCAGGTCAAGAGTATGGATTACTTTCCACTTGCAATTAAATGACAGAATAAGGAGATAAGTGATTAACAGTTTGATTTTTCTTTTACTCATTATTCATGGGAAAAAGTTGCATGCTCTTATCAAATTTCATCAGACTATGTTGAATGGTTATTGACCTGTGCCAGTTGCAGGCAGTATCCCACATATGAAAATACAAGGGCCATAACTCTATCCCAGCTGTGGAATCACTCTTGAACTATGCTGTTCACAAGAATCTGTTATGGTGGAGATTAAAATTAACGTAAAAGGGCTCATAGATTGTAAATGTATTTTATATTTCAAATCCCATTTTATAAATCTGGAATTCGTTCCCTAGATTCAAATATAAATCTGTCAACTGATACGTCTGAACTGGCCATTGATATAGCAAGAAATATGTGAACATGAACTTGTCAATAACAATAAAATATAATTATTCTAAATAATGATATGATTGATAATCTCATATCCATTTAATGCATTTCATCAGTGGCTCAGTTAATGTAAAACTAGCTGTCTGTAAAGGACACTCATGGGATCATCAAAGTTTGTCCCTTGTGGACAGGTGCCATTTATATACAGGCTATAAAATGGTTATGAAAGTAAGAGGACACCAAAATATTCTCTATCAACAGGTGTTCTTTATGATGAGGTGTGCCAGGGCAGTTTCCACTGTAACTTTTGGGGATTTTTGCTTTAAATTTTATAGCCATTGCATTTGTAAAACCATCTTTACAATAGACAATTTCTGAATTACTTCCCCTGGAAAATATCCCATCAACCACTAACCCTTTCCTTGGGCAATTATGATAACTCTACACAAAACCATTAACATTACAGAAGAATAATCACATATGCAACTTTTGAATCAGTTCTATTAAATTTAATCTTTTGATAAAGAAGGATAATAACGATGGATGACTGCTTAATTATATGCTTACATTTTCAAATCTTGTAACAAGATCATCGTTAATTTTGTTAGCCAACAGTCAATCTTACATAGTATGGGTTACTCTCTAAAAGATCAAAAAGCTGATGACAGACTTGAAGGTGTTCTGCATATCTCAGGAAGAGAAAAATATAGTTAAAATGTAAGTTCAATCTTCTTCACAGAGTACTGAACAACTGACAATGTTTTCAAGACTAAGTATGCAAAGAATAAAAAAATACTTCAGCATAAATGTCATTAATGTGGAAATCTGCTTAAAATATGCAGATCTTTGAATATTCTTCTTGAGGTTCTAATTAAATATACTATATCATAAACATGCTTACAGAAGTAAACTCTGAACAAAAATATATATACATTTAATGAGAAATGATACATACATTTAAAGAGAAAATGTACATAAATTGGGAAAAGGACTTATCACATTCATGAGTATAGGTAATAAATGATAAAACTAAAGTAAAACTTACAATAAAACAACAAAATGCTGTTTTAGATCTTTCAGTTAAATCAAAGCAGTTAACAAATACTTTACCTATTTTAGGAAATTGTGAACAAAAAATGTGATCATAATTTTTAAAACAAAGCTAATAGTAGGAAGAATTTGGGGTCTCTCAAAGTCATAATTATACTAGCTTGTAAGTCGAGTCAAACTGCAATTGCACATGCATAAATCTGCTGTCACATAATGCACTGGTAAATCTGGGTCAATGCAGTTTGTTAGGAGTAATCTTTTTTTTTTTTAAAAAACCCCAACAACACACACCTTGATCTACCTGTGAATTATGTGATGGCAGAGTAGGTTCTATGAGGTTTACAGCTGGACTTGTAGCTACTAAGGTAATATGGTCTAATAATACTACATGAGAATGTAAACACATGAAAGAGAAATAAAATATATCAGGAGACCTGTTCGAATTGGGTAATTACGTGTCATGTACTTTGCATTGTAATGGACCTACTAATAAAACTTTATATTACTCAACACAATAATATGCAAGTTTCTAAGCATCTACTGTAAAATTAAATTGCTGATGACTTGTTAATACAATTTCTTAAATTTTTTAAGGAAATTTATGAATCAAATGAAGTCAGAATAAAGTTATTATGTGGTATTTAAAAGAAAAGTGGGAGCCAAAAGCATGTTAAATTCTATATGTTTGTCTTTTTTATTTTCAATGTAGCTTTAACAATCTGAGTCATATTGCTACAATGTCTGCAGTGTGACAATTTATAGTGATGCCTAGCAATGGGGCATTATGCCATAGACATGTAGTATGTCTCACTCAGACACATTATCCTGACACCAGTCCTAACATTAAACTCTTAATTCTGAGTGCCAAGCAAAAAAGCTATTTAGCCTCATTTTTATAAGTCTTTGGTATGACTTGACCTATGTTCGAACCCACAACCTCCAACATCTGGGGTGAACACTCTAACTACTTAGGCCACTGAAACAGTTTTAAGCTCTGACTTAGCAACATTATATTCTCTTCTTTATTAGCTGAACCCAAACTTTGAAATACAATGTATACTGAATTTTTAAATCTTTGGCTATATAGACCTCTTTAGTTGAATTTAAACAAAAATAAAGTTCTGAATACAGCATTTTATAATTATATATGAATAAATGCTTTTCTTGCATTTATGGTACCTAATGCAGGAAATATGCAAATATACATCCCTGAGCC